TCCCTTACATGATGTGTTCCAAAATAATAGCAATAATATTTGTACTTATGCAACAAGTATATCTTAAGCAAGTAGTTTCACAGATAGTCTTCTGCTATATCTGAATTGAAGAGCTGCCAAAAGGCTTTTGAATGAAGAAAAATGCTGTTGGAATGACGTGCAAATGGATGAACTCGTTGAAGCCAAAAGCCAAAAGAAGATCATTTCTTTTTCTTAGATAATTGGATCAAATCAAGTTGAAGGTAAAGAATTGTGGTATGAGCCCGTATAAGGTAGCCAAATCAGACTAGAAAGACCGACTTTAGGAGCAAAATGAATGTAGCTGATGTTCCTAATGTAGCTGCAGTGAATTCAGTGGACGTTATATTGGTGATGCAGATGAATAATATTACATAAGTATATATGCAAATGTCAAATTTAACGGCTCGCAATGCTAATCACTAATGGGATAATTAACTGCCATATTTCTCAATGGCAATGGCTAGAGTATTGTAAAGGCATTTATGTAAGAGATTTTTTTCCAAGCCTTGGCAGAATTTCAACGAATTGGCACATCCATCTAGGACTCCATCATCTTCATGAGATGCCACGGACCATAGTCTACTCTGAAGGGTGCCATGAAACCCCAGCAACTGTAATGGGAGAGGTGAGTGCTGAGACCAGCTGGGCTTTTCTTCAGCTTTGAAAGGGTTTATCATGGAGCTGGATGCTGTTAGTTATGAGCATTTCAGATGGAGAGAACACTCCCCTTTCTTCTTCTCAGACACAAAAACTTTGTTGGAACTGTAACCAAAAATAGAAAAAAAATCCCATCCACTTCCCCAAAAAAGGTATTGACCTTGTCAGTATGTTCAAATTTACCTAATATATTTACATATAAAAAATTAACTTCTGAAGATTTATGTAATATGCTGACTCCTGGCCAAAGAGAACATTTATGTGTCCTAAATAGATCATTTTGATTGAGGGTGGTTATTCTGCCAAGGGAAATTCATACAAAAGCTCCAAAGTACAGCTGTAGTCTCACCATAATTATGTCATTTATTCTGATCAAAGTGCATTGACTAGGCTGTAGCTCTTTTCTCTCTATGGCTGATGGTTATAAAAGGCCTTCTATTTTTTTTTTTGATGGTGACAGAGATGATTCTTGAGATAACTGGTGATGATTTTTTTTTAAAGTTCACATATTTTCCTGAGAATAATTTAATGTCTCTCAATCTAAAGCAAAAAACCTCACAGAGATCAAGCACCTAAGGACACATCCAGATCATCAGGAAACTTCATACCAGTTTTACAGTCTAAAGAGAAGAAGGGTCAGAAAGGGGCACATGGAGACTGAGGAGTCTGCCCTGGAGTCCTTGTGTGGGAATGCAGTTGGGGAGCAAAAATTTCTTCAGGCTAAAATTTCTGCTAAAATCAGGCAGCTCAACCCATCCTCCAACAGGCATGCAGGAGCAAGAGAAGGGGGTGGCTCTGCCAGACACGAAGAGAGCCTGACTCAGACAGAGCCCCACGTCTTGGGACAAGCCCCAGGGAATGCCATCCACTGTAGACAAATTCACACCTGAAAGTACAGTCTGTTGTGTCCCATTAAAGCATACATTCCCTGAACAGACCTGTGGGAGTCTTTCCAGACTCAGATTGACCTCAAAGCAAAAAAATTTGCTTGAACAACTGTTTGATCTGCATGTTGGAAAAAAATATTTCCTTGTGTGAGAATGTGTGTATGACACCATCAACAAAAATAAGGTGCAAAAACTGAAGTTACTGCTGAGAAATCCTATAGCTTAACGGAGAATTACTATGCGTCTAGTCTCTTTTGGTTTATTTTAATTTCTGACAAGTGGTTTTGCAAATCCCTACATGTTAGATCCTTGTTCTTCCAGATACTCTGTAGGACTTCCCTTTTAAAACTATACACTAACACTTTGCTTTGTTCTCTCCTCTTTGTCCATACTTCTGCATCAGACACTGTATTTATTTAGCCAGATAGTGAAAGTTGTACTGTGTACTATACCCTGATACTTGATTTTAACAAAAACGTTGTTTTTATCTACAGGTATCTTCCCCAGCAAAAGGGCAATTCAGCTACAAAGGTATAGAGGTACATGGCCTTGGTTCAAACACAGGATCTAACACTCATGCTCCTCAGAAAAGTTTTGCTTTAGCATCTTCCTCCATCATTGGGTTTGCTGCATATAGCTGTAATTTGAACAACTCATTTTGACAAATTTATAGTGCTTTATACAGTAATTGGAATTTCGTTGCTTTAATGCCACCATCCAAACAGTTTCTCTGATTATGGTGCTGAAAGGGAAGTCTTATGCTGTACATAGATGCCTGTAGGAAAAAAAAAAAGGATTTTATGTCATTATCATAATAGTTCATAAAATTGAACAAAGTAAAATTTAGAATTCATTTATTCATATCAGCAGAAGTTAGTATTCTTCTTGCCTATAAAAAAGTTTCAGATGTTAATCATTTGTTCTGTGTTTTGGTTATTCCAGAGAGTTTACTTCAGCAGTATAGATGCCCTAACTCTTTTTCGTAGTTGTTGTTGCTTTTTTAGTGTCTGCAAAATGCAATTTTTTCCATAAATAAATAATGACGATTCAATGAAGATGGTATCAAAACTGTCTTCCAACTTCTCTGCAGTATTATGCATGTGAACAGAAGGCTGAATTTTGCTCTCTGTTTTGCAGTTAAGTATTTTATTGATGATACAGATTTAATCACCTCTCTACAGCTGACAGTTTAAGCAATGTAACATATCCCTTCGTAATTTGAGATTTCGTTAAAAATGATTAACCAATTTTGGGAATAGGGAAATGACGTGAGGGTGTGTCTGTTTTATTTGTTATTCATGTTACTGTATTAAGACACTGCTTTTTCCTTTTTTCTCTCTCTCTCTTTTGTTTTCGGTGATCCTCCTCTGTGTCTTCAGCATCTTCAAGCCTTCCTGAATGTAATTTTAAGCTGAATTCATGACAGTCTGGCAACAGCCTCAAATATTTACCTGAACTCTTGGGACCAAATTCTGCACTTCTTTGGCCTGACCATATCAGAAGTCCCGTGACTGGAAGTGGAGAGGATGCAACACATGGCCACAGGAAGCTTGAAGAGCAGAGGCCATTCATCCATTCAGGTTAATCTCTGCATTAACTCTGCCAGAGCGATGTGTCTGTCTGGAACATAACAGAGCAACTTTGCGGTGCAATCTTCAAATATGGGCTGTTGTTCAGAGACGGAGCTCTTGGAAGCCCTGTTCTCCGTGTTAAGTGAATTTAGACCTGTCTTACTGGCAGGTCACAGGGGACACAGGGAGCTGGAGAGCCTGCAGTGGGAATTTGCAGCTTTCTGTGTTTGGGAGGATGCTTTTTACTGATGAGTTGAGAAGGTAAAATTGCCACTAATAAAACATGCAGTTGACAAAAGTGTCAGGGATCTGCTACAGAAATACAGATATAGAGAAGGCAGATAAGCACGAATTTCCAGAGGAACACCAGCCTGGCCATTTGTCCTTCTGTTCGTACAACAACAAGTGGGTAGAAAGAAGCCCTGAACATGTATGTGTGTGTACTTATGTGTGTGTACATGTGAATGACTTATTTTTTCCCCTCGAGCATAAGAACAAAAAGCTGGAAATAAAATTGGCCCCTTCTCTGATCTTCAGCAAACTCCTGGTGCATTTGCTGTGCCTGTGGGTCCACTCCTAGAGAAGGGCTTTGCCCTGGGCAGGGAGAACACCAGAGTTAGATGGGATCATCTGTTTGGACCCCAGACTGAGATGCCCTAGAAATTTCTGCAGTTTTGTAAACTTGTCCGGTTTGAGAAGGTTTTGTTTAGGGTCTTGCAGTGATGGTGGCAGGAAGCTCTGCTTCAAGAAATGCAAGAGATACATAAGAAATAGAAGGGAAATAAACCCTTTGGTTTATTTGTTGTCACACACAAGCTAAGCAGTGCAGAAACACATGAGATCACAGCATTTCAGAGGGAGGTAGTTTGGAGCTACAGGGTGGTAAAGAGGTGAAATCCTGACCTCCTTGAGAGTTGTGGGTTTTTTTCTTCACTCCTGAAGAGACTTGCCTTTTTTGATGTCTTTGTGTTCCCCTAAAACTAGGTAAACTTTTTATATTCAGTTAAAAATAACTACATCATTTTTTTAAAAAAAAAAAGGTACAAAATCTCTTTTTTAAAAAAAGGTACAAAATCCCTTCAGCTGGTCAGAACTAGTCTGAAAGGCAGAAACAGTGTTCTCAACCACTCAGGCCCTTGGTGTCCAGCTCTCCCAGGGGTGATATCATTGTCTTATAGGAGCTATAGTGGGCTTAAGTTACAGGGAAGAGGCCCTGCCTCTCCATGCATTGGTGTAGCTGTGGAAGCCGCGAGGATGCACAGAGTTTTCTTCTCTGCACAGGCTTTGGGAAGCCCAGTGGCTTGAGACAGGTTTGCGGTGTCCCACAGATGCAGCAGAAGAAAAAAGACATTGTGGTAATAGACAATTAAAAAAGAAAAAAATTAATAAAAGAAGGCATATTATTTTAATTTTCTATGGGTGAGGCAAGCTGGAACTGGCACCCTCGGTCTGAGTTCCCATGGCTCTCTAGTGCCTCTGGCTCCCTGCACTCCCTCCCTTCCTCTGGGGCTGTCAACAGCTGTCCCAGCCTGGGACACATCTTGGGTGCTTGTGTTGGCTGAGTTGCTTGGGGATTTTCTCCTCCTTCCCATCCTGGCCTCATCTGCCGGAGGTGACACTCACCGCACCGGGGCAATGGAGCTGCCGCTGTGCCCAGGCTGCGAGGCAGGCGCCG